CCAGAAGAGCTCGCGGGGCCCGGCGATTTTCTGGCCCCGACCGCGAGACGATGAACTTGTTATTCCGTTCCTGGCCGTCGAAACTTTATTGCCCGACGCACGGTTCGTTAAATTCAGCGCGTGTTGCGCCGACGACGCCACGACCTACCCCAGCCTCCCAGCCCCCGTCTTCCGAGGGCTAATTACGCCAGCCGATGCGCCGCTGCTAATTGTGTTTTACTTGCCCGGGATTCCCTGTTTTTCTTCGCCCTCGCGATTCCGGGGCTTCCGAGGAGTCCGCGATATTGCAGTAATTGTTTCGTACTTTGGCGTCGGCGAAGAATCACACGTAAGAGGAAGTTTGCTCTCCGTTTGATCGTAATATGATTCGTAAGATGGGGAGGCAGGTGCCATTCTGTTCGAGTAATTATTCGTTCATTTTGTATCTATTTGTCTTGTTGTATATGTATACGTTACATCGTAGTAATGTAACGTATTTATTTCTTTTAATAAATCATTGTGTACATGTGCGTAGTGTATTGTATACACATTTTGCGATTTTCATTGCAAGCTTTTATTTTTGATTTTGCAATCATATCAGTGTTATTATACGTGTGTATATTTGAGAAAGACAGCCAGTAAGTGTGTGCGATCGTGTAACAAGTACAATGGAATATAGATAAAATTCTCGACATAAATAGAGCAGCGTGTTATCTAGGTAGTTCATTATCATTGTTAGTAAAAATATTGGGAAAGAAAGTCGAAACAAATAACATTACAAAATACTATCCGTCTTCGTTACGCATAATTAACAGTATTTTAGATATTAATTCAATATTGATTCAATAAATATATAGAGTAATAATAAACAGAGCCGCTGCATATAGCGTGTGCAGAGAGTTTTAAATTAATCGTCTAATGTGTAATAACTAAAGCAGATTTTCATACACACACACACACACATACACACACACGTATCTAAAGAAATGGAACTTTTACACGATTATTATTACGACAAGGATTCCCGGTGTCTATTTTCATACCCGTTTGTAATTTAAGAGATGAGCGAATTATTCATATAATCAAATTCCAACAAACAACGTTCAAAATCATCCCCCCGCCCCTCTCTGAGAAGTTAACGAAACGATAGATCCGCGGATCGATATCACATACAGACGCGCGCGCGCGCTAGCATTCGATGGTAGTGGAATTTCATTAAATCCAGGAGGGAAAACAGGAACGCTCGAGGAGAAGTCGCTCGTCCGCGTCATTGCAGCGGCTGCTGCAATGCCCGACAGAAACACACCACCACCACCACCACCACCACTGGCAATGGCGATCGCAGCGGCTGCTGCTGTTCGCGCTCGCGTGTAAACCGGTCAACCGGTGCTGATTTATTATTCCGTAGGAAATTTATTATTTACAGGTAATGGCGGGGCGTTTCCAGCGCGGGGTCCGCGGGGACCTCGCAGCCCCCGGCCCCGGACAAAAGGGAAAATCTGCCGCGCGATAAATTCCGGAAATCAATTGGATTCGCGAGAACGGCGAGAATCCAAGGGGTTGGGGGAGAGAGGGGAGGGAGGGGGAGGGAGAGAGGAAACCGGGCGCGTTAACGCAGCCAGGCTAATATAATGGCTGGCCGATAAATAATAATTATTGCGAAGCGGGCTAATGCGACGCGCGGAACCCTCCGTGAAAATATAGTCGCGGCGCGCACCCTCTCCCTCCCACTTGGCCGGTTCTGATAATTGCGTTTCGAAGCACGCGGCGCGCGCCTCGCGCAATTTCCGTTACACCGGGCATCGTTGTTCTTCCGGCGCGTTTCGGATCGAGGCTGGAAACCAACGGTTGGGATGATTCCCTCGGCGAGCAACCGCGCGTTGCTTCTGTTCTTACGCGTTGCGCGAATATCAGCGGGACGGGCTAATAAAGCCACTCGATATTTGCAGGAGCGTGTGTGTTGCATGTCGGCGTGTGACAGGGGGGAGGAGGGAGCGAATTGGAGGCCGGTTTGCAGAGCAGACGTTTCGTTCGCTCGGAGATTGTTGGCGAAATTTATTGAAACCCGATGAAGATTGTGTGTGCCTTCTAGGGGCCCCGAGCTTCGCGGGAAAATTAGACGAATGTGAATCTGTCTCCAACAGACTCGTCGGTGTAAAGATCTATCGTCTTGTGTTTATCGCGTACAATGATTCCTCCGCAGTCCTAACTGATTTCTTCTGCGTAAACTAAAAATATGTATCAATCTATCTGTTTCCAGTAAATTCCAGTAAATTCGACTTTTTAAACGAAATGTAACATTTTCGTTCATTGTTATGAATTTTTCACGTCAACAACAGACGAAATACACTCGTCCGTGAAAATTGAAAGTACATTGCTTCTCATATCGAGGTGCGATAAATTCTCCGATAAAGATTACAATAATTTGTATTAATAAAATGGTATTCTATAACATTTCACCTCATCATTGTACTAATGCTTCGTCACTGAATACTCCACAGTGACTGATCGCCATTTTGTTAAAATAGAAAACTATAATATTCTCCGCCAGTGTACACATTCACGTTTGCGAGCTCATAACATACGAATAACAAAATGTACCTCGGTCGAAACAAATTTCCATTTACAGCCAACGTGCACAAAACACGATAAGACACACGCGCGTACTCTTTTATGTTCGTCGACACAGATCGGCGTGCATTCAGCTTAACGTATCTGCACCTCGAAAAAGTATATCGATCTCTTTAATAACTGCTCCAACTAACTTCCAAATATACGCCATCGTTCACTCGAAATTAGCTGCGCAGCAGACGAGCCCCCATAAATCGCCGGCGAACTTCCGCGTTGCCATTACGCCGCGAGATCGAACGCGAGAGCTCCAGCCAATTCTGAATCCTGTCCGGCGTAAAAACGAAATGCCCCCCGGGTGTTGAGCAATAATCACGGGTGCCTTCGCTCGCGGTTTCGTTCCGTCCAACGAGGAACACCAGGACGTGCCAATAAAAGTTGTCCCCCCTCTCCCTCCCACCCGGGCCGATTCGGCCAAGTACGTGCGTATTTTCGTGAAAAAAAAAGAGAAAGAAAGTAAAAGAGAAAGAAGGAAAAAAAATAAAATAAAACGAGAGAGAGGGGGGGGGAGCGAACGAATCGTGAGCGACGAACGAACAGGGATTTGGAAGACGAAGCCCGGACGTCTGGCGTTGGCCGTATAAGCACGCCACGTGCAATTACGCTCGCCGTGGCATCTGCATGCAAATGGGAAAACGGCTGGCTGCGCGGTTCGTTGTAAATCAAAAAAGGTAATTCGAGGAAGAGGACAGCCGATGGCGCGAGAGCTCTACCACCATCGTCCCTCGAAAAATCCCATGTCGAACGGTTAATTCGCAGGAGTGCCGTTAGCCTCGAGAGAGATCGCCTCCTCGTCGAGACTCCTCTCGATCTCTTTTATAGTTTTTCTCTCTCTCTCTCTCTCTCTCTCTCTCTCTCTCTCATATCTGTGCCTGTTTCACATCGGAAGACGACGACAACATTGGAAACGAGTCGCCACGTCGTACGCGAAGATTCAAGCGTCGTTCTCGCGCGGCGAGCAACCAACCGCGAATGCAATTCCGCGAGCTGGGTGAAATCGCGGCCGCGCGATAACGAGCCGGCGTTGCTCCAGAGTGTGCGAAATAGAATTAAGTGGCACGATAGGTGCATAGGCGGAGGGAGGGACGACGTAGACACGTGGAAAATAGGAAACCGGCAACCGGTAGTTCGGAGAAATGGAAATTGCTACGGAACTCTCGAGAACGGCCTCGCGTATCAATTTATCTGCCGCGTAAGTCCCAGACGCGTTGGAAAATATGTTGACAACGAAGCTGCGGCCAAGACTGATTAGCAATGTCAATGTAAAGTGTTCGCATTTTCTTGAGAACACAATCACTGTACGTTATTATTATTTAATGAACTTTGAACTCGTAATGTCAGGCTGGCGGTGACAAGACAGATTTGCTACAAATGTCTGGATATTGTTTTAAAAATCATCGCGCTTTGAGAAATTGTAAAAAAAAGAAACAAATTATACGAGAACAAAAATAGTAATAAATAAATAGAAAATGTTGATTCATGTCTATTTTAAAATAAATGCAATAAGTGCGACAACATTGAAAACGAATCTTGATCTTTTGGTGGTGAGTATATCTACCACTTGTTTTGCAGGATGTATTATAAACAATCCTGATTATGGTCGTTTTTTTATTATTTTCACTCGCATACAATGTATTGTACGTACTCTTATCAGAGATCATTACTTCGGGCATTGAACTTCGAACGAATAATTTCTGGTAAATGTACACACCTATGCTCTAACGAAGGAAGTGTGAAAAATGTGACAAAATTTTTGAAAAATCATCAATCTTCTTCTAACTGCAAAATGAATAACTGAAAAAAATATACACATTATTTATCTAACAAATTATAGTGATTCGTTCATTATCGACTCTATTTATTTAAATTTCAAAAACTTCTGTCAGTGCCTCACTTTGAATGAACTTTTTCTGGATGAATAATCTATTCAGATAATGTTAATTAATAAAAAAAAGAGAAAGAAAGCATGAGATTAAAAATACGTTTTTCATTCATAATTAATAACTTATCTATCATCGACCGTGAAAGAGGTTAACTATTGATTTGTGCAGAAATATAATTTCTATTGCAATGCATGGAGGTTAAGAATTGATGTACAAAAAAAAACTGCAGCAATTTGTTGAACGCGTATGCTGCACATACGCCAATACGCGTATTTCATCGTCAACCCGTTATATATCGTGTTCATTTGCTTATTAAACGAAATACCATAATTGCTTAAATTCCCGGCGAAACCGGCTGCAATAATTTCACCAGCCTGTATAAAAGATCCGGTTACGAACGCTAACCTTTTTATTAATATAAGTTTCGTGCAATTTCATTCGGGCGTATCACCGGGCGAGACACGCCGGAACGGACGTTTATTTAATCATTGGCATTCCTTCGATGACAACCGTAACCAATACCTATATTTCATTAATCACCTTCGAATAATTAACAATCGAATAAATCCCAATACGCGCACGCGAAATAGCCACGATTACATCCCTGTCCACGAACGAATGACTCGCGTGCTCGTCATTGTATTATCGATCGCACACACCTATCGAACGTCGGTTTTTCTATTTCTTTTGATCATTCGCCTTAATTCGCGATCGCGCTATCGTTTATTCGAAACTTTTTCCAGCGAGATGAATTTTCGTTGCCAAATCGTTGTCGTTCACTGTTAGCATTTGTACACTTGCAAATCTCAAATATTTCATTCAAAATTCAAATATTTACTCTTGCTTTGAACAACATATGCAATACTATAACATTACTATAATATTATAACATGTGCATAATGTAATACTGTATATTATATGAATATGTATAATACTATTATATAGTAATAAATACAGTATTATTATATATCATATATTATAATACTATTAATATTATATATACTTGTTACATAATATATATAGTATAGTGTGTTGTACGTACTATAAAATAGATACATGTATAATAGTGCACATGTAATATGTACAAAAATTATGTAATAAAACACATATTAATTATATACAAACAAGATATACTCAAGATAATAGTATACTTTTATTATAGTATGTACAATATATGTATAATATAAGGTGCACAATTAATACTAATACACAATTATATTATATAAACGTTAAAGAATTTTATTACGAAATAACCAATGAAAGTTCAACCATCAGTAACGCCAATAAATTTTATTAGTATCGATTTATCAAGATGAGATATACTTCATTCAGAGTGATCGCATTTTACTACAGAAAAATAAGAACCTTGAGCATTTCATTTAGACATTTCGTTAACTTATTTATTAGTTGAAAATTATACACGTTACGAAGAAACGACGAAGTCTCTCTTATATTTGTTGATCGGTAAACATGAAAAATGACAAATTACAGCATGAAAGAAGAAAGTCTGTCCGTATTACTACTGTTACAGTTATTCACTACTTTGTTCCAAACAAGTGTGGAAAGTATTGCATTTTTAATATCGATCGAATTCTCGCGAGCAAGTTAATTAATTCCTACATTGTCAGCGTTCGAGCGTTTAAAAAAATCGGCGCGACACAACTGCTATGCGAGTCACTGTACGCTTCACAAACGTACACACATGCCGGTCGCTGTAAATCAAGCAAAGTGTCCAGATACTTACCAGCGATAGTGTACACACATAAATATGCGAACTGCCTTCGCATAATACAGGATCGATAAAACGCGCGCACGCCTGCAAGCAACAGAGGAGCAACGACGCCGTTAATAACTTGACGAATGCAAAATTAACGCATTCACGATGCCGATGACGTAGCGTTGCGTCCCTTTCGCGAATTACGAGAGGCAGGCGAGAACCGGAGGGACTTTTTGACTTTCCAGTCGGCCGTACGAGAGCATCATATCGCCATTATTAATCACAACCCTCGGAAAAGCTTTGTTGCGCGTGCAGAGTAATGGTCTTTTCTTGAACGCTTCTCTCATCCTATTATTCATCGATTTGAAACGAGTTGCCCCCATTGAAACCAGAGAGAGAGAGAGAGAGAGAGAGA